CATCTCTCTCCTATCTGGTGATTTCCACAATCACAGGCTCACAATACAGCCACTCAAACATTACCTGACAATATGGGATACAGATGTTATAAGTGAGATTAATGCATTCAGCAACCCACAAGCATTCAATAAAGTCTAAACACATTCTTATAATTCTAATACCTATTTTAACAATTCTAGCCCACAAGTGGGGCAGACTGATTCCAGATATGTATTTGTTAGTGTTCAGTTGAGACATGGGGACTCTGGTATGAGTGGGCACTGGTCTGAGCACTTCCCAATGACCTTTTAAGAAATTCCATTTGTTTCACTGTTCATACATTAGTGGTTTCACCAAAATCTACATACCAGTACCCCTAGTATATACTATTCACAGGCAAAAAATTGTAATCTGAAGTTAATCTGTAAATATTTATCACTTTAGTGTGGTTGGGGAAGGGAACTTTGAGAACATTATAGTTCTGTAGTTTTTGGGTCCTGTATCACCACCAGTCTTCAGACCATATTTGGCCTTTAGTTACACACTATTATATTCAAATTCTGCTATCAGTTACAGAATTTGGAGTTATATAGGTGTAAGTGAGGTAGACTTTGTGTGCAATTAGAACTTAATCATGGTGTATCATTGGAGATGTAGTCCAGCTGGAGAACCCATCCCATAGAAAAGAATGGGGACATGAGGAACCTGAACTACAATTCCCATGGAGTATTACAACATTTTTCAGTTTTTGTAAATTAATTTTTTTGAACCACAGTCAATTTTCTGTGGCAAGTAGACACTTTGTGAAAAATTGTCAAGTCAAAAGACAAGTTCTGTCAAAAAAATGTTTTGAAAGAAAAGTCTTGACCAGCCCCAATTGTAATTTCATGTTTTTCTCAGTGACTTCAGCATCCGATTTGCTAAGTTTACCGTAAAAACTTTTTTTTCCTACCAGCTAATTTTGATATGCCACCTGGATTTTATAGTCAAATAGATTTTTTTTTTCTGGCTCATGCAACATCATCAGGAATAGATTCTGCAAGTCAAATTATGCCCTTAGCTACCTTAAAAAAACAACAATCCAACTATTTACAATACACGTTACTAACAGAGCTGTCCCAATTCATCACCATGTTCATTTGCTAGTACAGTACGTTGTATCCCCATCCCCTACCCTTCAGCTGTTTGTCTTTAGATTGCAAACCCTTCGGGATAGGGATTGTTTGTACAATGTCCAGCATAATCAGTGCACCCACAAAGCAGAGTTTCACAGGTGTTAGCTTATGGCAGAATCTGGCTGTGTAGTGGGTACTTAGCTAATAATTCTGTTCATGTTTGAATTAGATTAAAAAATAGCTTATTTTCTTAGCTGTGTTGTTTCTGCAGTGGCAACAGGAGTAAAAGTAGGAAAAAGTGAGCAGATCAGACTTTTACACACACAGGAGTCCAAGGGCTTGTCTACACTACCGCGCAGGTCGAGCTAAGATACGCAACTTCAGCTACGTGAATAGCGTAGCTAAAGTCTATGTACTTAGATCTACTTATTGCGGTGTCTTCACTGCTCTAAATCGATAGCTAACGCTCTCCCGTTGACTCCGCTTGTGCTCCTCTTTCTGGTGGAGTACTGGAGTCAACAGGAGAGCGCTCAGCGGTCCATTTATCGTGTCTATACTAGATGTGATAAATCGACCCCCGCTGGATCGATCGCTGCCTGTCGATCTGGCAAGTAGTGTAGACAAGCTCTAAGCCTTCTTCACCCTCCACAAAAATATCAAGTCACTTCCAACTTAGCCTGAAAGAGGGAATGAAAGAATATGCACCTTCCCCATGTGCTATAATCCTCAACCTACATGCCAAAAGCTCAACCTTCCTCTTATCCAGCAGTTTAAGCCTTCAGTTTTCTCTTGAAAATTTGATAGTGCAATTAACATGAAATAGCAAAAATAAAACAAGGAATACTGTGCTGATTGTATTATTTCCAGTAAAAGACCCCGTTTTAGTTTATCTGAAGCTTGCTACATACTTCAGTATTTGTTTATTTAGGTTGGTTACATTTTCTTTCATAACAGAGTGTAGCATATGATGTAATTCTGTTTTAGTAGTGCAGTGTTAACGGCCCAGTTTTGAGAATAATTTCAACTCTGGTTTATAAGGAATGTAAATGCTGCTATAGGAAGGCAAAGGAAGTTAGGGGGTTCAACAGCTAACTTCCTGTTGTGCATGTCAGCACAACAGGATGAGTAAATCCTTTTCCTTCCTGGACCAGCAGTTTAGGACAGAAACTGTGTTCTACGGCTTAGCTAAAAACTGATTTCTAACATTTTTTCTTTTCCAATTTGAACAGACTGGTATATGGACTGAACTTAACAAGATTGAGCAAAATTTCTTAAAGCCTTTGCACACAGGACTTAATATGTCAAAAGCACATTATGAAGCAGAAATAAAAAGTAAAAAAGCAAATAGACGAGGTTGGTTGTCTCCATTACTATCCTTTAGATGTGTCCTTTAGATGTGGAAATGGTGTGAGAAAAATGAGTGAACACTATGTAGGTTGTATTTTAGGTAGAAGTATTTGAAATATGCTGGGTTCAAAATGATCACACAACAACCCTGTAGATACCATATTTGTCATTAGGAACTACTTTCGTAATGTAATAGGGGTCAGAAAACAAATCTGTGGGCTTTGTTTTCATTACTATGCTTTCTTCAGTTTTTCATCCAATATGGACTATTTATCAATTAAAAGTAGCCATTATTCAGGGTCTGTTTATTTCCAAGTGCACATACATGTAAGCCTTATGGAAGCTAATAGAAAAATACATGTGATTCGGAGATTGTTTCAACATGAGTGATATCATGTGGACATTCAAAAATTGCTCTGCACTGCTACTTCTGACTTAGTGTTCATGCAGCCTACAGAAGCAATGCAAACCAAGAAAGGGGGATGGATAAAATATGGAGAAGCTAGTAGCCTTTGCTTAAACAATAAAATTAATATTTAAGTGGTAGATAAATTAAATCATGGCATTGGACCCTCTCCTGCCATCTTTTTACATGTGTAACTATCTATTATTCAAAGAAAGTTGTATAAAAAATGGATGACAGGATTGTGCTGTGGGAATTCTTGCATTTTTCCATTTTATGTGATTTGCAGCTTCATAAAATTGTCTTGTACTGCAATATAATATACCTCTTGCTATTTTACTATAGTACAAGATTTATCTTTTGAAATCCATATAGTAATAGTTCATATGCAACACTTACTATAGAGAACAGCCCAATAACTTAGTAATGCAGTGACCTGCCATATGGAACGCTGAAGCTATAGGAGCCACCTGAGGTCTACATTCTGTTAGAATTCAGCGCTCTCCATTCTTAACTCTTGACCAGTCACTGGATACACACATTTAACAATTTAGAATTTATAACTGTAATATAATGAAGATGTTAATTTAAAAATTAGAACACTCTGCTGCTCTATAATATGTTCTTTTCTTTTGCAGAATCTCACAATTCTAAAGCAGTTTGTTCTGTAACAGTTGGCGGGGAAAAGATGCCTAACATGACCACTGAAATGCAGCTTCAGGTAAGTTCATACCTTTTTCCAAAGTTATGCAAATGCATTTAGACTGTTGTTGTGGGGTTTTTTTGTTTTTGTTTTTTTACCTGAAGGCAAGTGTACATTTAGAGCTGACTGGGGGGGAAAAAATGTCATTGTGCTAATATAAATAACATGAATTTTTCTTGACATTTCAGGTTCTACATTCAGCTCTTTTCACATTTGATTTAATAGAAAGTGTTCTGGCCCGAGTAGAAGAACTCATCGAAGTGAAAATAAAAACCATAACATAACAAATATTGGGGGTCAAATGAAGCACTTGATGTCGTAAATCCTAGTGGGTTTTTAACTCTTGCAGTACATTAAGACACTGGTCATTATGACTTTACTTGAAAGAGACGTTATCAAGCTTTAAACAAGTCTGTTGAAGAATTATTTATAAAAGGCTGCTAGAATATTTGCAAGTGCTGTTCTTTACATGTCTTATTACGTGTCTTTACTGTAGAATCTGATTAATGGAGATAGTCAATGTACTAATTACAACAAAATATCCCAAGTTACCCTCTCATTGAGTTTGCTGCAGTTTTGCTAGTGTTTGCATCTGCTTGGCATAAGATAATTATATTTTATTAACCTTTGGAGAAGAGAGGATGTTTTTGGTGTGTAGAAATAGCCTTATGTTTGCATTACCTAGAACCAAATAGTAATGTTTGGAAAGTTTTGAGATCCACAGATGTGTAAATACTAGGTATTATTACTGCAGTTAATATTGCTAACCATACTTCTAGATTAATAAAGACTGACTGTAAACCAGGACTATCCAAACTGGAGATCTGAGCATAGGGATTTGAGGACAAGGGGAAGCCAGGCTTCAAAAAGCACCTCCAGGACAAAACAGGATAAGTTTTAGAACTTTCCACAGTGAAAAGTAATATACATAAACAAGACAGTAAACATATTTTTTGTAAAGAGAAACAAGAATACAATTCAGTGCATAAATTGTTAATTCATAATATGGTCTAAAATATATGGACTTGGGGGAGAATCTACTCTAGGATCATTGATTATTCTTATCCTCCCTAACTATGAAGAATCTCCCAAAGAGGTGTTTAAATGTTTTGGAAAATAACAGATCACTTTGCAATCAAGCTAAAGTTAAGGTACTTGCTTTTTAATGCTGTTTTATTTAAATTGCCCAAATTGTAAAAACAAAACATACATAGGATTTTAAAAAAAAATCTCTTAACTTTTCTCCAAGTTAGCAAATTTGGTATAACTCACACTATCTAGCATTGAATATCACAATAAATGTTATGTAAATTTTCATTTAATGCATTAATTATATACACAAATATTTTTAAACTGACCATTTTTTGTATAGTTGCTGTATTTTTTTTGAACAGACAAGAAAAACATTTGTATTTTGTTTAGAAATGTAACTCCAGAAGTTTTGAATAAATCTAATTGGTACTAAGTTAGTTACAATCCAACTGGATCTTGTGAAGCATTTTCCAAACTGGACTCTGGTCTATGATCTGGGCTTTTGCCATTAGCATTCTGTAGCGAATGTTGTCTATTTGTGGTTTGCAGGTGATCTTAAAAGGAAAAAAGAAATATGTGCCGCTACTTACAAATATTTTGATTAAAAGAGAATTAGATAGTTTGGGTAAAGAAATACTGAACCATTTACTCTTAATATAGTACAACTGGAAATTACGAAGAGACTGAGACCAGATTCTCTCAACTGGGTGTCTGGGGGTGAGGGAGAAACAAAGGTAACAGGGTAAGCCACCTTGGGGTGCCAAGCTGATCCTGAAGCACAACTTAAAGCAGCTGTGGGACTGATTTGTTCATATTCTGATAACATCCCACAAGGGGTTGTTACAGCTGCTAAGGATTAGCTAAATATGGTTGCTCCCTGGCCACCCCTCCTGCACTGGGGACAGGGAGAAGTGAAACAGCAGTCATTATGCATGTTGTACTCCAGCTGGTGTTCCCCAAATGGGGGAGTCTTGAAGTAGCTTATTCAACTGGTTTGAGGCTGCTTTGCACTGACAAACTAGTGCAAGTTGACCACAGCAGGGGCCAGATTCTGGCCTTAAGATTTAGAACTGTATTTTAATGGCCACAGATAGGCCTGGGCCTTGTGCTGACATCATCCCTTACATGGAACTCCCATTGAAGTCACTGTGACATTAGTGAAGATCAAGTGCAGGAGAGCTTCAAATTTGTAGGATCAGCAGTAGGCCTAATTTTATTTAACACCTTTGCAGTTAACACTGAATTAGGATATGGTGCAGAACAGATTTCACAAAAAGCTAGAGGTCTGATGTACAGTGGTTACTATTAAGATGTCAACATTTAATAGTTGTCACACTGTAGTACATGAGATGCCACAGTTATTTTATAGACTCTAGAATAGAAAATAATTGCAGTATCTTATGCCAGACTATTGTAACTTGGTAAATGCTAATTTGGTATACAGTGACCACTTACGAAAAGGATAAAATGCAAACTAATATCTGGTTTGCTGCTGTTCCTTTTATTTTTGGTACTTTATCGGAGTGCTGTTCATACTATTATAATTAATGTTGACTCAACATTTCTGTAGAAAAACCATTAAATAGCTTCTGCATATGCATTCATCTTTTCAAAGAAAATTCATGTTTACTTAAGCATGTAGGATGTGTGGCAGTTTCACAGATATAAACAACACAAATGGCTCTGTTGTAGTTGTTAGTCTATAGAGTAGATTTATACAAGTAAATCCATAATTGATTGAAGTCACCAAGCTGCTATAGTCTTTAGGTTAGGTTTCAGAGGAACAGCCGTGTTAGTCTGTATTCGCAAAAAGAAAAGGAGTACTTGTGGCACCTTAGAGACTAACCAATTTATTTGAGCATGAGCTTTCGTGAGCTACAGCTCACTTCATCAGATGTTTACCGTGGAAACTGCAGCAGACTTTATATACACACAGAGAATATGAAACAATACCTCCTCCCACCCCACTGTCCTGCTGGTAATAGCTTATCTAAAGTGATCAACAGGTGGGCCATTTCCAGCACAAATCCAGGTTTTCTCACCCTCCACCCCCCCACACAAATTCACTCTCCTGCTGGTGCTAGCCCATCCAAAGTGACAACTCTTTACATAATCAAGTCGGGCTATTTCCTGCATAGATCAAGGTTTTCTCACATCCCCACCCCCACCCCCATACACACACAAACTCACTCTCCTGCTGGTAATAGCTCATCTAAACTGACCACTCTCCAAGTTTAAATCCAAGTTAAACCAGAGCATCTGGGGGGTGGGGGGGGGTAGGAAAAAACAAGAGGAAACAGGCTACCTTGCATAATGACTTAGCCACTCCCAGTCTCTATTTAAGCCTAAATTAATAGTATCCAATTTGCAAATGAATTCCAATTCAGCAGTTTCTCGCTGGAGTCTGGATTTGAAGTTTTTTTGTTTTAAGATAGCGACCTTCATGTCTGTGATTGCGTTACCAGAGAGATTGAAGTGTTCTCCGACTGGTTTATGAATGTTATAATTCTTGACATCTGATTTGTGTCCATTTATTCTTTTACGTAGAGACTGTCCAGTTTGACCAATGTACATGGCAGAGGGGCATTGCTGGCACATGATGGCATATATCACATTGGTGGATGTGCAGGTGAACGAGCCTCTGATAGTGTGGCTGATGTTATTAGGCCCTGTGATGGTGTCCCCTGAATAGATATGTGGGCACAATTGGCAACGGGCTTTGTTGCAAGGATAAGTTCCTGGGTTAGTGGTTCTGTTGTGTGGTATGTGGTTGTTGGTGAGTATTTGCTTCAGGTTGCGGGGCTGTCTGTAGGCAAGGACTGGCCTGTCTCCCAAGACTTGTGAGAGTGTTGGGTCATCCTTTAGGATAGGTTGTAGATCCTTAATAATGCGTTGGAGGGGTTTTAGTTGGGGGCTGAAGGTGACCGCTAGTGGCGTTCTGTTATTTTCTTTGTTAGGCCTGTCCTGTAGTAGGTAACTTCTGGGAACTCTTCTGGCTCTATCAATCTGTTTCTTTACTTCTGCAGGTGGGTATTGTAGTTGTAAGAAAGCTTGACAGAGATCTTGTAGGTGTTTGTCTCTGTCTGAGGGGTTGGAGCAAATGCGGTTGTATCGCAGAGCTTGGCTGTAGACGATGGATCGTGTGGTGTGGTCAGGGTGAAAGCTGGAGGCATGCAGGTAGGAATATCGGTCAGTAGGTTTCCGGTATAGGGTGGTGTTTATGTGGCCATTGTTTATTAGCACTGTAGTGTCCAGGAAGTGGATCTCTTGTGTGGACTGGATCAGGCTGAGGTTGGTGGTGGGATGGAAATTGTTGAAATCATGGTGGAATTCCTCATTGTATTGTTTCATATTCTCTGTGTGTATATAAAGTCTGCTGCAGTTTCCACGGTAAACATCTGATGAAGTGAGCTGTAGCTCACGAAAGCTCATGCTCAAATAAATTGGTTAGTCTCTAAGGTGCCACAAGTACTCCTAGTCTTTAGGTTAGTAATTTACTTTAAGAAGATCTTGAATATTTACAGCCTGATTTTGATTTCATGCTAGTTTTACATTAATCAATGAATGGAGTCACTCCTGATCTACAATGGCAAGTGAGAGCAGAATTAGGCCCTAGATCTCTGTCATTCATCTTTATACATGCTCATAAGACCTTTTAAAGCTATTGTTAATAATAGTTTTAAACAAACATATGAACTACAACATCAGACTTTGGCTTGTGTTATTAGAACAGTAGGTATTGTCAGGACTCTGATCAACGTAACAGTAAGCTACAAGCTCAGTTAAGGACAAAAAATTAATTGCTTTTGTTGGTTAATGTATTTTTTTTAAAAAGCTTTCATGGGTAATATTTGTTAATATATACCATAAGACTTACCTTGGCTATAGTTAGCATGAGTTTAACTATTTCAGCAGCGTTATGAACTGGAATTACACGTAAATTACTGCCCAGGAATCTGCACATCAGAATAACCATAGTTACATTTAAAATATATATTTACAGTACATGACAGCTTAAGGCTGAAAAACCCTTCTCACATTATCCAAGTAATATTTCTCCATCCGAGCATTTCCCACAATTCTGAACATCTGGGCTGTCCTCTCTCTGCATCTCATGGCACCACATGGTCTGGCCATATCCCTTCTGCTCCTGCTTGCTGCCAGATTGTCTGCCTTCACAGCAGCAGATAGTTGCAGTTTCTTTGCCTTCTGCCCTTCTTCTATTTTTACTTTTCTACCCAGTTTATTGGGCCTTGGGGAACAGTGTTCTCCCTCCTCAGCATTCCTTTCTCCCTGGGTCAGTTAACCTCTGGGGGGTTTAACTGTCCCTGAGCCTTCACTGCAGCGTCTCCCTGCTTGCTCCTCTGCACTTCTTTCCTACCATACTTTTGTTTCATAACCCTCCCTACATCTCACTACTTTCCAGACATCCAGAATTGTAGAAGATGCTGAGCTTCAGAATGGAAAATTTCTTACCAATACTTCTCTTCCTGCTAGCAGCATCTCCCACAATTCTACCTGTCCTGGTAGGGGTCATGAGTCAACGGTCAGATATTAAGTTGAATCGTTACCATATGACTGTCTTCCTTGGTCTAATGTACATAAGTACTTCATTATCTCTGGAACATTTGTTAACGATGTTATGCAAGTTTTACAATTTGGGAATAACTTATATGACACCAAGCAGAAGCACAGGGTGAGTGTCCAGACCATGTGGCACCAAAACACTGATCTGCCTCTGTGAGCTGCAGAGAGGAGAGCAGCCCAGATGTCCAGAATTGTGGGAGACATTGCTACCAGAAAGGAAATTATCAGTAAGAAGTTTTCCAATCCTACCTCCTACGCTCACCACCAGTGCATGCAGAGAGTTTGGGGTTTGGTTTTGTTTTTAAGGCAAATGGAAGGTTGACACTATTCCTACATCCCTCTTCTCTTCTCTCCCCCACTCCCACCCATGCATCTCCTGGTCCTGTATTTTATGAGGTGTTGTTACAGGAGAGAAGCTCCCTTCTTTCTCTGGAGTGCTTAGTGACAGAGACCCAAGCCCTATTCCACTTTGCTTGAGATAAAGCTCCTTCAGCAATTGTGTGCTCAGGAAGGATTGAGACTGTAAGCACAGCTCTGCCATGCCAGTTGCAGAATTAGTTTTCACTCTCAAAATGCCAGTAGGCAAGTGGATTTGTTGAGGATGGTAGTAGATTACAGTCAGGTGTTTGAAAACACTAAGGAATAGGTTTAAATCTAAACTCCCATACCTTGTTACTGCACTATCCAGACAGAATGTGCTACCTGTCAGATATACCCAAAACAAGAGGATAATCCTGATAAGAATTTCACTTTAAAACACACTTTTATGTTGCTCAGGGGGGTGCTTTTTCCCACCCCGAGTGACATAAATGTTGCCAACATAAATAGTAGTGTAGACATGGCCTACATGTGAAAAATCAGGGTGACACGGGATGAGAATGCTTTAGAATAATCAGGTTTAATCCAAATAAGTAGCCAACTGTTCAGATACGTATGGCTTCTGTGACCCTCCTTCTTGTGACTATAGGTAAGAAGTTTTACAAACCAGTGAACAAACATTTGTTAAATATTTCTTCATGCAGACAAGACTTGTTACGGGAAAGTTTTGGTTTTTTTCAAAATTTAAGAAAAATAGCAAAATTTTCCAGTCAGTATTACAAACCTAGAAAAAAGAAAGAATCGCTAAATATATTACGTAGCACTGAAGTGATTGAAGAAAGTGTTACTTGTCATGCTTTCAAGCGTGTCCCATGTTGTCAAGTTGACTGACACGTCAAAATGATTTTGAGAGCACTGTTTTGCACATTCTCCATTAATAAGACAAGCCAGCATTACAAACATTAGCCTCTGGCTAATTTTCCACTAGATGAGCAAAATCAAATTCACCTGTGTGACAATTTGGGAAATCTGTCTGCAGCACTTATGAATTCTGGTTGATATTATGAAGTTGTTACTATGTAAAATTGCTGTATCATGGAATGCCTCTAGGTCTGTGTATCCAGACCAAGGATAAGAGCAGATTGTTAAGGACTATCCGCATCTGAATAGGTCTTACCTGGGAAGAACAAAGGAGTTACTGCATACTAGGAGAAACTAGTTCTCCAACTTCCCTCACCAGTTTGGGGGGAGAGGGGCAGGGTTTCAGTGTCTGGCGTTTGGAGAGTGGAAAATTCCAAAATATAGGATGAAGAAGCCAAAGTGTTGAGGGCAGCCTTTAAAAACCATAGCGGGTGAAGACATGCAGGCAAAAGTAAGGGGATGGATTAGCCTAGGTGAGAGAAGGGTCCATGTTTCAGAATGCAAGCCATGCATTTCAGCAGAAGGATTCTGGCTGCCCCTGACAACTCTGACCCCAACCCAAACAATGCTCTGGAGTAGTGAGGAAACCGGAAAATGCATGTACAGTTTATTATTTTTGTACTGAGGTGAGTATTTTTTGTGTGATTAGGTAAAAAGCAATGGTGTTAGAATCCTGTGCAAAGTGTCTGTGTTTTGTGTGTTACACTGTAGGCCCAGGAGACCCACATGGCTAAAGTTCTGGGACGGGGTGAATTTAAATTCTGGGTGCAAATCTAAGGGCTTAGCACCAGTGGTGGATTTAGAGTTAGTGGGTCCCTGTGCGCAGCTTCATTTTCTCCCCCCCCTGCCTTTGGGATTCAGCCAAGAAAAAGAACATTCTCTCTTATCTTCCCCCCCCACCCCCATTTTTCATTCTTTCTGTTCCAGGCCAATGGGAGCTGTGGAGTCGGCGCTCGGGGCAGGGGCAGTACGTGGAGACACCCTGCCCTCCCAGGGGCCACAGGGATATGCCTGCTGCTTCTGGGAGCAGCATGGCACAGAGGGTGGGAGGCAGAGCGGGCAGGGAGCCGCCTTAGCCCTGTTGCTGGCATGTCTCTGTGCACCCGTCAGGAGAGGAAGGCAGCAGGTTTCCGTGCGCTGCCCAGGGCAGGGGTAGTGCACAGAGCCACCTCCCCTACCTGCCAGAGGCGTGCAGAGACGTGCCCCGCAGCCAGCCACTTCTGGGAATGGCGTGGGGCCACTGGCCACAGCATGCAGGCAGCCTGCCTGCCTGAGCCCTTCTACGCCACTGGCCGGGACTCAGGGAGGTTGTCAAGTGAGATTTGTCCTGCACTTTGGGAGGGCGGGGCCCTGTCATTGGGGGCCCCGTGCCACCACACAGTTTGTTTCATGGTAAATCTGTTCCTGCTTAGCACTGTTTTTAAGGACTCAGTAATGAGCTGTGAGGCTGCAGCTCTCAGGAGGGGGATACTAGACAGAGGGTCTGAACCCTGAGCATGTGCCTAGGAACCCCAAGACAGAGCCTTGGCTCTGTTGAGACTCTGGAGGCTTAAAACACCTGAGGATTCAGCAGTTGATCACCTCACAGCAGTCTGGCAAGTGTCCAGCTTGGCATGACCTTTGAAAATCTGTAAATAGGACCTTTGTGCAAATATTCATTAATATTACATCTCATTATTCTTTAGTAGTAAAAATACTGGTCCAATTAAAGACACACCTTTTCTGAATCCTGAACATTAAATCCCATTCTTTTGGTCCATGCAAGGCAGCTGACAAAAGCAAAAAACTATTCCGATGAATGTTTATGAACTTCTCAGTTCTGTCTAAAAACTGTTCTCCTCCTGGCTTAAACACGTCTTGTGTGTCTGCCAATAGAAATGCAATGCCTAGAGAAGAAATTGATTACAATGCAAGCTCCGTTTGTTACTTCAAGCTAGTAATGAGGTCTAGCCTTCTAACTACTAATAAGTCATCAATAAGCAGAACTCCCAACTCAAGCATTACTTTAGAAGGCAAAGGAATATAAAATGTGAGTCAATTCGCATACCTTGGCAGTAATGTGCAAGCCAATGGGGATGGCCAGAAAGAAATAATGTCACAAATTGAAAGACAGCAGCTGCAGTCACCAGCTTAAGATTTGGTCATTGAAAATCTACAACTTAAAACCAAATTACAAGTTTTCTACTTAAATGTTATTTCCATATTAACATGTGGATGGGAAATCTTGAAATCCACAAAAGATACAGACAAATTCTAGGTATTAAATGGAATGAAGTTATAACAATTGCCAAGATTTGTCAGACTTCAACAAACCTTTATCTCTAAAATTATGCAGAAAAGAAGCTAGAAATATGTGGGGAACAGCTTAAGAACAAAGACAGAGCATCTGCAATGGCAGATGTGCCATTGGGCGCCTAAAGGAACATGCAAAACTGAACATGCCAACTGAAAGAATCCCTTTGTTGAACCATCCTCAGACAGGGAAACTTCTGAGACTTTTTAGCAACATAGAGGACCTGCAAAGAGCAGCTCAGGTTAGACAGGTGCGTTGGAAACTTATTCATGCCTTATGCAATGTTGATAGCACAGAAAGGGTTCAGATTCCGAATAAGCAGAACTATTTTGTCTAAGTGTCACTTTAGTTGTTTAAAGAAAAGGAGTACTTGTGGCACCTTAGAGACTAACCAATTTATTTGAGTTGTTTAAAGTGCTGTTTTACTCTGAAAAGCAACGGTAGAAATAGTAATATGGGGTTTCACGTTTGTTGCCTCAGTGATTTCCCTGGTCAAATCGGTCAAATTTTACAGAGACACATTTTTTTTGTAACTGCCAGCTCAGAAAGTTTGACTTGGAAGATTAAGGTGAAGCTGGTTTTCTTTTCACACATTGTCACCCGTAGTAAAGGTTTGTGCAGTGATATTGTCTCAGCTAGATTCACTCAGGTGTGACTGGGATTCAGTAAATTGTTTGATTAATGCACAGAACGAATAGAATCCAACTTAGTCACTCTTAGATGAATGGCTTCAGTAAAGCTAACAATTAAATAACAGCAGATTTTTTTTTTAAATCACAAAAGTCATTAGGTACACATAAGGAGCTGTTCCGTCAAGTAAGATGACATTTTATATAATCACTTTTCAGAGTACAACTGCACTTTAATGCAATAACTAGTATCTGATTTCTAACCACAGCCCCTCTTCTCCTCACTTCCACTCTTCTCTGATGTTGGCCTCTTGAAAAAGAAAATACCATCGCACTTTCACATCCACCATTCTAAACTATATGACATTTCTGCAATGTAGCTTTTGTACAGTTTCTTAGGTCTACTCTGTGCTACTGCAAGAGGATCTGCTCCTATACCCCGTTAGAATTTCTGGTGAGTTCTTTAAGAAATATGTGCTGCAATTCAATTTATTGTACCGGAAAGAGAAAAAATCATGGCTCCATTTTCCACCGAATCTGAATATCGAACTCTGTGGTGTTGACTCTGTAGATATGCTGAAACTTCATGACTCTAAATAAATGTAAAAAATGTATTTTAAAACGTGCTTGCAATCATATCAACTGGACTCTTAAAACAGAGTCTGACTGTTAAAAGGTCTTTAGTACCTTAGTTTAGAAAATATTTTTACTCCAGTAGCAGTAATGATTTTAAACATTTTAACTGAACTTTTGCATAATTGATGAGAATATGAAATATTTTCATAGCTGCAATAATGATTTAGATGTGAAATAATGGGGTGACAATCCTCTAATTTTTTACCTCTTCCATTATAACCAGACTGTCTACATTCATTTTGTCACAGGAAACACTTGCATAATAAACAAGGAAACTTCACAAACAACGTTTTACAGTCAAATCTTTGTTTTTAAAAAATGATGCATAGAAGGAAGATTTTCAGACAGTAGAAATGTACACACTAGACGTTTGCCTGCAATTAAGTAGGCTGGTTTGAATGAATCAATATGGATGTCAGCATTTTAGTTGAAGGACAGATAGATCAGAAAAGACTGCTCTGGACAACATCCTTACCACGGGAGCTTCATGGCAGAATACAAAATGCTTAGGAAAGCAAGATGACAACACTATGCAACAATGTCATCTGAAGAATGGGGTGGACTTGTGCATATTTTTCAACCTGCAGGTTGAATTTTCTAGTGGTCTAGAAAAAAAAATCTCAAACAATCGCACACATTGTGGACTGTGACTTTAACATGCTCAAATCAGACTTCAGTCTCCTCAAGAGTCCGAATTTAAACCAAAAATTGTGCACCCATATTTGAATCTCCTAACTTATTACTGTAATTTATCCAAAGTATTAATACTGTATGATGGAAGAGATGAAGTCTTCAGAGGGGAATCTAGAAGACTACAATATCCTTGCTGGAATGACTTACATTGATCAGCTGAAAAAAAATATCCATATAGTAGTATCAGTGCAACAAGAAAGACAAGGGTTAGGAAAACATTTAACTCACAACAGCAGGTGGCAGGAATACTAAACTGGTACCAAACACGAAGGGAAATAGCAGAATAAGAAAAAACATGAAGAAAAAGGTAGGTCTACAGTAGCAACAGGTTTACCAGATAAGTGACACACATTTTCCTGTATCTATTATATACTTTAGCATTGCATAAAATAAAATAAAATCTTGGAAATACTTGACAGTTCAATGTTAGTTGACCAGAGGTGCCAATTTTCTAATGTGTCGGGGGGTGCTCCACCCGTTCCCCCAAGGCCCCACCCCTTCTCCGACTCCTCCTACCCTCACTCTGCCCCTGTTCCACCCCTGCCACGCTTTCTTCTCACTTTGTTGTGCCCCCTCCCCCATGCATGCCCTGCCCTCACTTCTCCCTAGGGTGACCAGATAGCAAGTGTGAAAAATCGGGACAAAGTGTGGTGGGTAATAGGCACCTATATCAGAAAAAGCCCTGAATATTGGGACTGTCCCTATAAAATCAGGACATCTGGTCACCCTACTTCTCCCCCTCCCCTTCCAGCACTTCCTGTGGAACAACTGATCACGGCAGGCGGGAGGCACTGATTGGCATGGCTGCCAGAGGGTGGGAGGTGCTGGGGGGAGGGGAAGGAGCTGATCGGGGGGCTGCTGGTGAGTGGGTGCTCCAGCCTCAGAGCATCCCCAAAGCCAGTGCCTATGCAGTTCACCAATAATCGGTATACAGTACCTGGAGAGCTGAACTCATGATAACAGTTGTGATCCATCTTGCCTTTTCCTGCCCACCACTTTCTGCCATTGTCACAGGGGTCATTAATACTTCTTCAGTGAAATCTCTGGTAAAACTTTCTCTCTCTCTAGTTTTCTTTAAGCTTTTTGGAGAGTACAGAAATGTCAGCCACCAACTGAAGAGAACACAACTGTAATAAAGGACACACATTAATGGTGCTTGGTCAAGGCACCAGGGGTGCCTAAAGACCCCAACTGAAATCAGGGCCACAGCATCTGCGCATTTTGCAAACACGGGGTAAGAGATAGTTCCTGCTCTGAAGTGTTTACACTGTAAATCCACAAGGCAGACCATGGGTGGAAGAAAGAGCTACAAGCAGATTATTGGGAGCTGAAGCACAGAGAGATCAGCTGACTTGCCCAAGGTCATGTACAAAGTTTGTGGCAGGGCCACTTGCCCAAAGATTTCACAATCCAAAATCTATTGTGTTAGCTTTGAACTAATAATTTAAAAAAAAAAATCAGTTTGTTCATACTAGTGTATTACTGTTTTGGAGAAATGTTCTTATAAGTCATATAAATATTCTGTATCTGCCCAAGTGTGGTGGTTAATAAACACTGTAAATATTGTTCCCAAAGGAATCTGTTGCATCTATGACCGTTTTGTTATAACTGTCCTACCATTCAAATGGCTGAGGTGAGAAGGACTAAAGAGAACTCTGCTTTGGAACATGTCAGCAGTGTTTCTAACAATCCAATTTCCTCCCAAAACCTATGGAGAGGTTCAGTGACTTGGCAAAAGTCCCAGTGAATTGCTGGCAGAGCGTGGCTTAGAATTTAGGATTTCCTGATGTTTTATAAAATAAATTACACATCAGGGAGTGTAGCAGGGCTAAGTGTGCTTCCTTCACATGACAACAGGGAGTGAGACCATCATGAAATGATTCAGTGGATACATTTTTCAAAAGTGCCTACATTATTTAGGAACCTAAATCCCATTTTCAAAAGGCAGTTTTGCAATTTTGGGCCATTTTCACATAGGTGCTTTTGAAAGTGTTATCTCAGGTCTCCTCCATGGCACAGTGCAGGTCATTAAGCTTCTGAGCTGACCCACAGCCCTTCTCCTTGTTGTTCGCATTTGTATTTTTGAAAGGTATGTCTAGGTCTGACACATTTAATAGACCATGCCTTCTTCACCCTGGGTAACTTTACTGGGAGGAGGCTGAGGGGCCTAGGCGGCTGCATCAGGAAGCCCTGAATCCTCCAGCCTAGCTCTGCCATCGATCTGCTGTGACACTTTTGCCAGTCACTGAACCGCTCTGTGCCTCAGCTCCCACCTGTGAAAAGGGGATGAGGCTGTTGCTCTACCTCACAGGAGGGTTGTGAGGCCTGCTTTGTAAAGCTGTGGGTAAGCTCAGCCCAGTCCCATGTGAGGACTGGAATCAGGCTCCCTTTGGGGATGTTTCTACCTTTCCCAGTTAGAGGCCACCCTCAGGTCTGCTGTTTTAAAGAACATGACAAGGCGCAGACCTCAGACCCTTGTGAGGCCTCCTAGCCACCCCTCCCCCCAACACCTTGCTTGTCGGAAGGCACTCGGAAGGCGGGACTTGGGTGTCTAAGGCAGCGTGAGATTGGCTGGCACTCCATGTGCAGAGGCGTCAGCTGAGTCGGTGCAGCACTGCCACACTGCTGTGGGCCCACTGTCTGAGCAAAAGCCAGCTCGGGGCTCTGCCAAGGGGAGGCAGAGGAAGAAAGGGATTACCTGGAATTCTGAGCCTTCTAGCTCTTCAGGTTATGACCTAACTAATTCTGCCCTTTTGAAAGGCCCGGCTTCATGGCCACTACTGAAGCAAGTGGAAATGTAGCAGGCAGAATTTGGGCCTGTGTTTGAGGGCTCCTCCCTCCTTTTGGTACCACAGCCACTGGCACCTGGACCAAGTCCTGGAGTAACTTGAGACTTTCCTCTCGGGTGACGTGCCCCAATTCAAACCCAACGTCTCTCTGTGATTCAGGAAGTTCAAAAGAAAAAGCAAAGAAACTGCAATTATCTTATCACCAGGAAGATAATCTCTGCCTCTATGTGAAACGCGAAAATGGTGGAGCTCAAGAACACAACTGTTTCTCTACACTCTGTCTGGACTCCACTCCTCTCTCTTCTGTTCAACATGGTTTTCTGATTGAGGGGCCTGTGTCCCTGGGCGAGTCACCACTGGAAATCCTGAGACTTTGGAAGCCACCCTAATAATTTCTCTATAAACCCAAGTTTCAGTCTGAAAGCCTGTGGCCATACAGGTGTGAATACATGAGCTGCTTGAGAGATACAAAGAATTGCTGATTGCAGGCAGAGATATAGGGGAGCCCTCAAAAATACAAAGCAGTAAAATGACAAAATGATGAAATTCAAAAATAATTTAAATTTTCTCCAGATCAGGGAAAACAAAGAAAAGAATAACAACCAACCCGTGCTGTTACTGCGGTGATGGAATGTTCCAAATATTTTCTCTCTCTATGGGCCTTTAATGTTAAAGCATGAGGCAGCATCTTGTCTGGAGAGAGAAGCAGCCTGAGAATGCTGGTACATTCTTTTTTCTGACTATAGGATGCATATCAGCGCTTTGCAGAGGGAGGAGCCGGAGGCCAATAAAAGTAGGTACTACAAACAAGTATTGTTGGGCCCAGCCCCTGCATTTGGATAATAAATGAATGTGTACACTCATTTGTGTAAAGACACCAGTACATTTTTACTGCAACATGGACTGCTCAGACTCTGTGCAGAATAATTTCAAATTAATGAAAGGTGAAGTGCACATTAAAAAAAAAATTAAATAACGTTTATAGCTCTGCGCTGAATAGGCCGGATGAGTTAACCTAGCAAAGAGAGGCATTCAACACCTTAGCCATTTCTCCCCTTCTATTCCTGGCAAATAAGCAGTCATCTTCGAGTGCCTGCTTCTTTCTGTTCAGTCAGATGTACAAGCTAATGTTGAAGGGGGGCGGGAGCCTGCAGTCTGCCTTAGGGAGTAAGTCAAGTCCATATTTTTTAATACTGAAGATTTTTTTAAAATATTTTAAATACTTTATATTCTACAGGGAGTAAAATAAGGGAGAAAAACATTAGACTTCCTACCTCTGTGTATGTAGGTAGGCTTCAGTGCTCTTTTGGCTGGGTGTGATGGTACTAATAGAATGCTGGGCAATTTCTTGTGACACACGCATGGAAATTTTACACAGAGCCTGCATGTCTTTTCCCATCTAAATATATATCTTAAGTTGTTTTATGGAATAATGAAGGTAACTTTGACACAGATTGAGAATCTAGCTGGTTGTTTATACATTGACATAGTGCTGGTTTAGACTTCATGTGTGTGTGCACTTGTTCTGAAGTTAGTATAAATCTAAATAAAAGGCACCATTTAATTCAAGTACTGGTGCTATATTTAGGGTGCATAGCAGTGATTTTTTTTGTTGAAGTGAATCTGCCAAATTTGTAACAAGAGCTACCCCTGAACTCAGAGATTTTGGAACTTGTCTAAACACAGATGTACATTATAAGTTATCACCTTTTGAGGATGGAGAATCCCAACAGATCACAAGGTACAAATGTTAGCAGGTAAGTAGAGGAATAAAGATTAGCTGCTTACTTGTATCTTCCTTTGTTTGTGGAATATTGCTGGGAATGTTTGGTATGTTATTTATTTCTCTTTGAATGTTGAAAATTATACGTTTTGTTCTGGGTAGTTTTAGGCTCTCTTGAAGCCAGCAGGTGCCAGGGTCTGGCTTTGTACACAACAACGAAGTGTTTTTCCCTGAGATCCTAACATTTTATTACTATGGTAGAGGGTCTGGCTGTACTAAAATTATATCTAAAGTATACCGAAGCTGCAATACACAGTACGATCACAATGCCCTATGAGAGAGAGCAAGATGCTGCAGATAGGACACTAGTTTGGAAATCAGTAGATCTGTATTCTATTCCCAGTTCTACCAGTGGTTTGCTTTGTGAGCTTAGGCACATCACTTAACTTCTTAAACCTAGATCCACACATGAGGTTAGGCATTGCAATGCTGAGTATTGTGGCAACTAGAAAAATCATAGGAACAGCAATCCACAAAGCCTGAATTAGGTTCTACAATGAATGGGGTGAGATAGGTTTCAGAGTAACAGCCGTGTTAGTCTGTATTCGCAAAAAGAAAAGGAGTACTTGTGGCACCTTAGAGACTAACCAATTTATTTGAGCATGAGCTTTCGTGAGCTACAGCTCACTTCATTGGATGCATAGGCTTAAATAGAGACTGGGAGTGGCTAAGTCATTATGCAAGGTAGCCTATTTCCCCTTGTTTTTTCCTACCCCCCCCCCCCCGCCCAGGCGTTCTGGTTAAACTTAGATTTAAACTTGGAGAGTGGTCAGTTTGGATGAGCTATTGCCAGCAGGAGAGTGAGTTTGTGTGTGTGTGTGTGTGTTCTTGGGGGGGGGGGGGGAAGAAAGCCTGGATTTGTGCTGGAAATGGCCCACCTTGATTACCATGCACATTGTAGGGAGAGTGGTCTCTTTGGATGAGCTATTACCAGCAGGAGAGTGAGTTTGTGTGTGTGGTTTTTGGAGGGGGGTGAGGGTGTGAGAGAACCTGGATTTGTGCAGGAAATGGCCCACCTTGATTATCCTACACATTGTGAAGAGAGTGGTCACTTTGGATGGGCTATTACCAGCAGGAGAGTGAGTTTGTGTGTGGGGGGGGCGGAGGGTGAGAAAACCTGGATTTATGCTGGAAATGGCCCAACTTGATGATCACTTTAGATAAGCTATTACCAGCAGGACAGTGGGGCGGGAGGAGGTATTGTTTCATGGTCTCTGTGTGTATATGATGTCTTCTGCAGTTTCCACGGTATGCATCCGATGAAGTGAGCTGTAGCTCACGAAAGCTCATGCTCAAATAAATTGGTTAGTCTCTAAGGTGCCACAAGTACTCCTTTTCTTTTTGGGGTGAGATAGGAGCCTTAGGATGCAATCCACAACAGCCAACAAGCTAGGTGGGGAGCTGCCTAAACTAGAAGATGTTGACAGCAGGGGTGTGGGCTAAGCCCCTCTCCTTTCACAGATTAGCACCAAAGTCCAGACTGCAGGGAAGCACCTATCTCTACTTAGCAATCCATGAATGGACACCCCTCAAAGTCAGGAGGCTTAGACATCTAAACAGCTTCTTACAGGAATGAGATGGATGCCTCCCTCAGTCCACCTAAAACTGTGATAGTGGTGGAAAAGGAGCTTTTAGCCCAGTGGTTGGAACACTCACCTAGGGTGTGGTAAACCCACAGTCAATTCCCCCTTCTGCTTGAGGGGAAGAAAGTAATTGAACAGGGCCATTCCCCACCCCCTTAAGCA